CATCTAATGAGTGTAATTCCTGTATAGATGTAATATAATTAAAATTCCAAATCTGCTGCTAATGTAAACTGCATAGTGACACTATCAACTTTTACTTTTGATACTTGTCTGACGATAATTATATGAAGAGCCAGCGTCATCCAAAATGTCACATGCCTATGTCTGATGCAGTTAATCTTCTTATTATTGTGCTCCTGATGTATATGTTTCTATGAAAGGCTGTATAAAAGGCTGCTGCACTGTAGCGATGCATGTGACACTGCCATGATGGCTAATTATATAGTAAATGTGACTGACTGTTAATATAGACACTGTACTTATTCAGCTGTACTGCATGTATGATATGCCAATTATGGCAGGTAATGACAACTTACCAGCTCACTGTGGTCGGCAGCCAGCTCATAGGTGTAGGAGTAGGGGAAGAGCAGCAGCTGCGAGTAGGAGTGGATGGTGAGGTAAGCCTTGATAATAGACTTGTTCCTACGGATGAAGTCGGCGACGTTCTTGACCTCGATCTCAGACTCAGGTTTGTACCCACAGAAGGTGTCACTGCAGGGGTTGCTGGAGGCTCCGGTGGCTGTAATCAAAGTAACAGTAATGAAAACCATCGATAGACACTTTCTTCTTCTTGTACACATGGAATTCAATTTACCTGCATTAAACTATAAAGCCAGTGAAAACACTTGTAAAATGTCTTATGTGGCTCTGGAGGGAGTTTGAGAAAGTACCTCTGACAATGTCATAGTGATGTTGTCAGGGTAACCTCTGTTTCAGCTTGAAACTAGACGTCCTCCAAGGCCTAACCGGAACCTAGGACCCAAGACACCTACAGTTTAGTAGTTTTAGTAGGGTCAGTTGGGTCTGTTTATCATCATGTGTAATACCCAAGTGGATCTAAGAAGACACCAGCAAGCCAAAGGTGGAGCCAAGGAAATACCATCTTCAATGGTGTGAAAAAGAAGCTTCAAGAAAATGTCTCAGGTCTCTCTCCTCTTGGACACACACCAGGTCGAGTCTTATTTCCCAGATTTCCAGGTCTATTAGGGTTCAGGTCTGTTATTCTGGACCTATGAAGACGTCTACTTAAGACTACAAATTTATACCAAAAAGCTTGCCTTACTGACGTTGCAAAATGTGGATTTGAAAGCTGGCACCAAGTTGCCTTGTGGGAAATGTAGGCTTGAAGGTTTTTGGGGTGTGACTTCTAATACGCACTAAAAGTCAAGACATCTGCTTCTCATGACATACAATACAAAATCAATAGAGCACTGCTTTAAGATATGAGGGGCACTTGAGTATAGTGTTGTACTTACTGCACCAGCCAGCGTTGAAGTTCCTGTTGGGATCGGCACCAATGCAGTTGGATCCAGATTTCCTGGAGCGAGTCTTCCTCCACATCCTGTTCTAAAGTCCCCAAGCGGAAAAAATAAACATGTCAGACATGCATTTAACAAATCAACAATTTCTTAAAATAAACAGCATTATATTTATTAGGTTTGACTATAAACTGAGGCTTGGAAGTGGAACATACGCTCTTGTGGGTGTAGTCGTAGCCATCAATGTTGAAGACGGGCAGAACAAAGACATCCATCTGGTTGAGCAGGCTGGTCATCTGAGAATCACTGCCGTAGGTGGACAGAGCCTGAGGAAGATTGGAAAAACATTCTGTGCTGTAATCACTGGAAACCTCTGTGTAAATGTTTGCCATGCCCATCCAGGTGTCCTCATTACCTCCTTGACAAACCACTGGCAGAAGGCAGGAGAGATCCACTCCCTGGCATGGATACCACAGTCCATGAAGATAGCGGGCTTGGTGGAGCTGGACTTCTTACCGAGCTGTGGTTGTTAAAAGTAATCATAAGCCATTTGTTAGATGTAATCGGTGGTAAACATAGTGAAAACTTTTGATATAGCAGGCTCGAAATACCTTGAGGACAGTCATGGGACGTCCCTCGTAGGTGTTTCCAATCACCTGCTTGCTGATCAGACTAGGATTAGAGGAGGCAATGGAGTTGATCCAGGACTGGACCTGAAATTAAAGGGAGAAAAATAAGAACAGGAAATTACTGTCTGGCCAGGATAAAGATTGCAACTGATGGTCTATTTTCCCCTTACTTTGTCCCAGCTGTTGTAATTGGTGTAGCTGTGAGCCCTGGGAGAGGGCTTGTTGTCAGCCTGGTCATCGACAGCAGACTGCAGATCCTCAATAAGGACTCTATAGAGGGATTTAAGTGTTAAAACAGAATGTGCAAAAAATAAAATCCTAGTGTTTAAGTGACATCTGTCTGGTTATTTACATGTGCTCCATGTCATTCTGCTGCAGGATGGTGTACACCATATCTAGGTACATGGCAGGCACACGGACGTCCACATCAATGTCAATGGTCACCAGCTCAGCGCTCTCGGGGCTCCAGAAGTCAACCTGCAGATGGCGCCAAAGTCAAACACTTGAGCATGTTGAGATCTTTAGATGGAAACTCCAAATTTCAGCCTCTCATTTGACAAACAGTGAAGACTGAAAGACTTATTGTAAAGTGAATATGACATGAGATCCAGCAAATATAGACAGTAGTTCATCCAAGCATTCAAAAAGGTGCAATTTGATATGACATGCATATATGAATGGGGTATTCAGAGAATTGACCCAAAAAAGTAGGTCCAATTTAGCCACTTCCGCCTTGAGCAAACCAATTACACCCCTGTAGTGAGTAAAGATAGCATTAGAAGGTGTGTGGGTGTGTGAGAAAGCAGCAAGGTACCTCGATGCTCTTAGCCAGGTCCTTAATGAGGGTCACATGTTCATCAAGCACAGGCTTCAGACGGAAGACTTTCTCTCTATGGAAGAAAAAGAAATCACAAATATGGTGCAATAGCCCATTGCAGTTTTTGTGGTTCATATTACCAGGCAGCCTCTGTAACAGAACACTCTGTACATTTAGGAAGTGCAAACTGCACAAGTGCTGCCCTTTCGCAAGAATGAAGTGTGACGTGATTGTTTAGTGTTATTCTTCTGCAAGGTTCATAACCCATGATTGTTTCATGTTCAATTCTATCTCTGAACTCATTTCAGTACAAAGTTTATATAAACTGAATTGCAGCTACATAGAGATATAGAGGCCGGATGTTTTTTGGGAGGCCTTACAGCAGTTAAAGGGTTACTGGTTTGTACAATACTGTTGAAATACCTTTGAGCAAAGGAGTTTAAATAGGGACAAATCCTGTTTCGTAACCAGGACACCCTCCTGCTTTAACAATATTTTATTGCCAAAAATATTGAAATAGAAGTACTATTAAATGATGGCAGGCTTATTATAGTGACTCATAATGCTGGATACAGTACATCAGCGGTTTTCAAACTTGTTGTGCCCAAGGCACACAGAAGGGCCAGCCAAAATCTCAAGGCACACCTGTATCTATATCTGTACACAATAGCCTCTATAAGGTGCGTTATTACTCTATCACGACATAAATGTTTGTTTTTATTTAATAATATATAAATAACAATTGGGAATTAACTATTACTCGTGAAATATTTAACAAAATGATTCAAAAAATTAATTTTAAACTTTTAAAAATACATCAAAGCACTATATGTAATAATGTAAGATTTTTTTTAAATTAAATTAAACTAAACTAAACTAAATTAAATGAAAGTAAATTAAATCAAATTAAATTAAATTAAATTGAATTTTTTTAGATCGAGTTTGCCTCTTTATTAGAAAATGGGTGCCACAACATACTGATACAGTCAATTAAAAAATCATATAAAATCATCATAATTTTTTGCATAGTCCCAGTCGAATATTTCAATAATAATGTGTGGTTATCACAAAATCACATGGCACACCTGGATTTACATATGGCACACCATTTGAGAACCACTGCAGTACATAGTTGATCTACTAGTTAAAGGAGTATTTCACCCACAAAATTACTATTTGCATATTAATTAGTCACGCTGTGTTACATTGAATTTGTGAAGAAAAACTTGCTTCTGCAACAAACAGCAAAAATTTTGGCTTATTGATTGATTGGGGAACATAAAACAATCGCAAAACTATATCAAAATATCTGTTATCTGTTATATATGGATTAATAATCCAAGGCTTATTTATCCAGTCGTATGCTCAATACTTCTCAAACACATGCATTGTTGCTGAATCATTACTATTTAAAACTGAACTAAAAATAAAACTCAATGCTCTTTTCAAATCCAAACACTAAGGTTTTTAGCAAAAATGCATGTGTTTGGCAAGTACTCAGCATACGACTGGATAAATGAGACTTGTTTTGATATAGTTTTGCTGTTGTTTAACAAGGTCCCCAATTGATCATTAAATCAAAATGTTCACTGGGACACATGGGAATAAGAAAAAAAAAAAATTCCTTACAAAGTCAAGGTAACAAGGCATGATGGATTTACGAGTGGTAATTTTGTGGGTGAAGTGTTCCTTTAACATTGGCTAATACTGTCCTGTAATACATAGTAGATAGGTCAAGAGTCATGGCCGCATATGTTATCATCCTTGCTCAATGCAAAGTCATGATTAGCACTCCAATTTAGACATTATTATAGCAATAGTGTGACATATAATTCACAGAAATATAATGTTTGCTTTGACAAAGACTAGAGATTTACCCCTCAAAGCGAGTGACGTCAGCCACGGCAACAGCCACCAATCCGAGAAGCAGGAGGACCTTCATGTTGTCAGTGAGGCTGAAGTCACCGCCTGGCAGCGCTTATAACTCTGACCTGCCGCCCATCCACCAATCACCATCTGTGATGTCACACATCCTCCAAAAAAGCCACCTGTTATTTTTAGGTGCTACGTGGAGGAACGGGGGCTGACATGATGCACAGTCAATGATTAATCGATGCTCGAGGTGCTCAGGGAAACTCTGAGCCAAGGTCACTTGATTCAAAGTTGTAATAGCTACTTAATGTGACATCAGCTGTTATTTCTGGTAACTAACGACACATTTTAATGACGAATCACTTCTTTTACTGAGGTTTTTTCATTTTATTCATATTTTCATATATTCACAAACTGTACATTTACAGAGTAAGAAAAAAAGAATCTATCAACATGTTTAAATACCACAAAGACAACCACCAGAGGTATTAACAATGATCACCCTGCCTGGAGTGTTTGTGTAGGACTCTTATTTATACAGCATGTTACTCCCAGACTGGGCAACATTTCAGCAATCTTATCATGCAAACACTTAACCACATATATCATACAGGAACAAGTTAGTCAAATATGTTACTAACTGATATAAACTTACATCACAATGTTGCTACACTTTCATTGTTCCATGTGCACAACTGCTGACAGATCATACATGGGTGGCTTATGATTTTTTTTTTTGGCCTCTTTGCTGAGCACTTGATCACTGTTCCAACTGGTGAAAGACCTGCTGAGCACACAGAATGGTTATCACTGGACAATATATTACTGCACCATATCCTTACGGCGACAAAATCCTGCAGTACATGCATATCTTATATAAATAATGGGATAAGCAATCTGTAATTATGTATAGTCTTTTCTTGCATGGCAGTACTCCTGGATGTTTTTTTTTTTTTACAACATGTGTCAGTGACACTGACTTCATTTCCCGTAACTGGAGTGAAACACTTGAATGCATGACTGTGACAAGCATGAGTGTTGTGTGACATGTGGTGGTTTATGAATAATTGTTCTGCAGATAAGCTCTGTACAAAGTAGTGAATGTCTCTTGGACTCACAGAGGAACATGAATACAACATTTCAGCCATTCTGCATGGTTCAGTGCTTGGTAATACAGTTGGGGTTTTAAAAGCATGGAATGTCTCCATCCCCGGCTCCTTAACCACAGACCAAAAGAGCAGGGAGAGTGAATTTGTACCCTCACTCTTTTTTTTTTCCCCCCTTCACTTAACGTCAGGGGAGGCCTTACTTTTGGCTGTGAGGCTCAGTGCCTCAGAGGCACGAAAAGACAGGGCGCTCATCTTGGAGCTGATGCTCGGGTGAGGCCCTGTGGCTCCACTCGGCGAGCAGCGCAACAGACGCACCAAGTTTTTGCGAAAGTTGTGCCCAACAAAGCCATACACGAGGGGGTTGACACAGCTGTTAAAGTAGGCAATGCAGATGGTGAAGGGCATGGCGGTGTCGATGATATCCAGGATGGTACAGTTCTCCACCAGTTTCAGCTGGGTGAGGATTTGCATTAGGTGGAACACCTGATGGGGCATCCAGCACAGGAAGAAGGCCAGGAGAGCTGCTGCAAGCATGCGCAGAACCTCGTCATCACGGGAACGGGAGCTTTTCTGGATGTGCCTCTTCCCCAGCAGCGCCCGTCCGATGAGGCAGTAACAGGTGATGATGATGATGAAGGGCACCAGGAAGCCCAGCAGGCTTTTCATCAGGCTGATGGCCAGCAGGAGCTCTTTCAATCTTAAGGCATCTTCAATGTTTGGGTGCAGAATGCCACACACTGTAGTGTAGTTTGTGATTTTGTGGAGATCCCTGGTCATTGCTGTGGGCACAGTAAGCACAAAAGCAAAAAGCCAGATCACTACACAGGTAATTCGTGCGTACACCACGGTGCGGAACCTGCGTGATCGCATTGGGTGGACTATGGCGAGATAGCGGTCCATGCTGAGCGCTGTGAGGAAGAAGATGCTGGTGTAGAGGTTAAACGTCACCAGCCCTGCGCAGGCCTTGCACAGGAATCCTCCAAAGGGCCAGTGATAGCCTATGGCTGTAGATGTGGCCCACATGGGCAGAGTGATGAGGAAGGTGAGGTCAGAAACAGCAAGATTGAGCACAAATATGTTGGCCACCGTCTTGAGCTTCATGTAGCAGTAGATGACGGCCACCACCATACTGTTTCCGACAATGCCGATGACAAAGATACAGCTGTAGACGATGGGTACCAGGGTGAAGATGAATTCATGCGTTCCAGACATGCCGCAATCCAGAGATATCCCTTCTGTCGTTATATTCGTCATTTTCCCTTTTTAGTGCCAGATCCTGGGACTTTTAAACAGGGGGCCCTGTCGGCAGGGTGCGTCTGTGGTGACTGATACAGGCCTTGGGCGAGGGCCTCAGCGAGTCCTATAAAAGAAACACAACAAAAATGTCACAGGCAGTCTACGGGAAGAGCCATCATTACCGCTGGCATGGTCCATAAACGCTAATCCACACAAGCACCAATGAAAGTGCTCACCCTACACCAGCTCATTAAAGACCTGCACATTAAAGCCATCCTGACGCTTTATGTTATTTCTGTAAAATAAGAAGCCATGAAAAACAGATGTTGTATGTTATTCAATATTCCAAAAATGCCCTTTGAAACATCATTATTCAGACAGTCTGCATTCTCCCCGCTCCTTTAAATCGTGTCTCCGCTAATGAATGGCAACAGTAAAACAGTACAGTGTTTATCAAATGGCCCGTCCATCTGGGTGGACTGTCAGCACCCGGAAGGAGAACATTTATGCCTTGTGTTACGACCTGTGTTAATGAAGACTGCATGGCAAAGTGCGAGCTTGGATAACAACACCATTAAACACTGAGGTACTGAGGGAGGAGAGAGAAAGAGAGGGTTGAGGCTCCAGTCACTGTAAAAAAAAAAAAAGAAAAAAAAAAAAGACATGTCACGTTTCAAACCCTTGGTGTGCAGAGATACATTGTACCCAGCATGAGAACTTCTAATCAGCACACACCTAAACAAACAGGACAGCAGGGATTCGGCTCTGTGGAAACTTTGCTCTGTGAGAAAATCAAACCTGCGTGCTGCGGAAAATTTGCCTCGGGGCTAGTTTTTGCTTCATTTGTAGCAGCAGAATGTGAAATGGGAATTAAAAAAAAATAATTCTTCCCTTTGTTGAGAGTCTTTATGTTTAATAGAATGGCTTAGTGAGTGTCATTAGTGGGGCTGATGTAATAATATTAGCATAAGCCTCATATAGTCTATTGCTATAGCTGCAAAGATAGTTTCTGGTACTAATTACATAAAAATGACACCGTGTTTGTGGTAACATTAAAACTAAATAGATGCCCAGGGAAAACGTGCTCTGGATTTGGGGCTCAAAAGAGCACAGAAAAAATAACTTATGGGCTGTTTTTTTGAATATGAAGTTGACTATGTCGTGTAATACAGATAAAATGTAGACTACTGTGTGTGCTGCCACAATAAAAAAATCCTCTGATTCCAGTTTGGCTAAACTAAGCAGGTGTCTTGCCACAAGATGGCATTCTAGCGCCAAGATTTTACTCTCCCCACATCTCACAGCTGATCCAGTCCAGTGATATCATCATGGAAATTATTGACAATATTGACAAAATGGCTTTTGCTTCTAAAGGAAGCTGTTGCTGCTTTTACAGCTACTGTGGTCTACTTACTGAAAGCACTATTATAAACCTTCCCTATCTGCATGCCTGTTGCACTCTGGTTGCCATTAAGCCCGTTTAAACCCTTCCAGTAGAACTATTTTATCTCCTAGTCAAAGATCTGCTAATTTTCCACTGGGTTTGAGCGCATGAATTCTTTGAAAAAACCCCTCCGTGCACTAAAGCAACTACCGTATCGGTTGCAGATGTGGGGACTGTTGAGTGTGGAAGATGTGTGGGTGCCAAGGGCAACAGAATAATGAAATATCTCTGCAAGCTTCCTGCACAGACCCCGCTGTAGTAGGTAGGGTAAAGCACCAACACAGATGTCACTGCTTGGATTTACTGTACATGTGTTTTCTTTCTATAATGATTATAACAGTGGGTGGCTGTAAATTTAAACTATACAGAGGAGAGCGACAAAACACATATCAGTTTCAGAGTTTAGGGATATAAAACCGTTTAAGAAAAATCTCTTGATGCTGAGAAGATTTTCTGGTGACCACAAATGGAAATATGGGAGAAAATGGACACCACATGCCTTTTAGCATTATGGGAAAGGCTGGCACTTTAACTGCCAGTATTTTTCCATGAGGGAGATGCTCAAGGTGAGGGGACGTGTGCGCGCAGAGAGCATCAACAAGGCTGAAAGTTATTGCTGCCTATGTATGTAAGTAAGCCCCATAATAAAGGTGAGGTGGCACCGACAGAAGGTAACTCGGAAGCAGGTGATTTAGTGTGGCTGTATCCAGTGAGCTATAGCTCGGGAGTGAGATGGCACATTACTGAATGACAGCCATAAACCCTGGGTGACCACAGACAGGAAGGTAAACATCCACTTCACAAGGTCCATGGGCCAAGCTGCATCCTCTCAGACAAGACAATGGATTGTGAGGCCATGCGCCATTTGCAAACACACAGCTGCTTACAGTGAATGATAAAAATCAGGAATGGGAGGAAGTTTGGGGACGTTTCTGCTCCTCAGAGACTGACTCCTGAATGGCACCACAGTGACAACATTCCACGTCTAATCCTATTTTGGGGTTTTAAAATGGAGCCCCTTGCAGGGATCATGGGAATTTCTTGGAAAGCTAAACCTAGGAAAATTAAGATCACAGCCGAGTTAGACTGAGTTTAGATAGCATTGTGGTTCCCATCAACAAAGCTATCTGAGGCTGCTCTCGGCCTGAACACCCGGCTGCTCTGACATGAGCACCACCATCTGGCTGCCCATAGAGAGAGCCACTAAAATGTCTGGTTGATGGAGTTAATGATTTATATCGGCCCATTATAGAGTGAGGTTCATCTTACTGGGAACAGCCACCAACCTCATGATCTTCCTCTCGTTAAGGCCTCGTTTCAGGCCTGTTAGGTCAATAGAACGTTTTGCAAAAACGGGTGCTGCCCCATTTTGCATCCTGTATCTTCAAGCATTTTGCAAGAATACAAATTAAACAACATTAAACTTCCCAACATCAACAAATGGCAGCCTTGAAACAACTTTGCAGCTTAAAGGTCCAGAGTGTAGGATGTAGGGGCTTCTATACACGCAAAGAGAAACTGTTTTCTTTGGTACATAGTCACCTGAAACTAAAAATTTGTGTTTTCATTACCTTAGAATGAGCCGTTTATATCTACATATGCAGTGGGTCATCTGCCATGTTGTTTCTACAGTAGCCCAAAATAGGGCTGCTCCCTAATAATAAACCAAATGTCAGTCAACCAGAAAGGTCATTAGTCTGCAAGATTTCATTGGTCACAAAAAAACCCATGAAACTCCATTAGGAGCTGCACCATGTCAACATAAATCAATTCAAATAAACACAAGAAGTTTGTGCTCTAGAGAAAGGATCAGCACTCAGTGAATAACCTCCTAAGCCCTATGATAAGCTATTATGGCAAGGCTGAACTATACAGACCAGTGAGTAGTGGGAACCTCCTTTCACCAGTGTTTCATCTAGTTGGTCCCACGACACCTCCAGGAGGCTAGACAGTGATCTCTGGCGTCCCAGAGACACTCCCCTAATGCCAGGTCTCACTGCTCCCCACACTAACCCAATAACCTCCTTTACCTTACTTACACATGGCTTTCTCAGCCCAAACAGCCATGTGTAAGTAAAAACCTATATGAGTGGACCATGTGGGAATTTAATTTGAAAGGACAGAAACATGAAGTGGCCACGCTCAGCAGTCAGACAGGAGTTAATTTCCAGGGCTGGTACAGTACCTGCGGTTATTCCACAGGCTAGTTAATAACATGTCGGGCAGGAAATGTAAACTCATCTTCATTGGTCGACTACAAACATGACGTATCATCTGAAACATGGAAGTAGCTACATGCCCATTAGCCACTTAGCACAATCATTACTGCTTTGCCGACAGCGTCATTAACAGGCGGCTCGCTCAGTGTGTGACGTGCACTTGTAGATAAAATATAGGCCTATATTAATGAAGGTTCATTAGGACGGTTTTGTATTTCTCTGTAATGTAGCACAGTGTTAACAATGTTACTGATACTATTCTTTCTCACACCTTCAACTCAAACCTTTGTGTTGTCCCGCCCAAAAAATATGTAATCGAATAATCAAATTAATATTGTAAACATGCGGGTTAGTAGTGGACTAATAGCCCTAAACAGCAACCATTGGTCGGCTAGGAAAATTCTTAGTCGGGGGCAGCCCTGGCCCAAAATACACAAACCAAATGCTGGCTCTAGATAGGGTCATTTCCGTTTTTGCGTCTTCATCATAGCTCTCCTACATACTTGGCATATAAGAGAAGTCTCAGTTGGCTGCAATCTGCAACTTCACCACTATATGCCGCTAAATCCTTCATACTAGACCTTTAATAGGTCATTATCATTCAACCAAACTGTCAAAATAAATGTTGGCAAGATTCGTATGCTATTATGTGTCTGTGTATGTGTGCTATGGTTTATGTGTGGTTATGCTTACGTACAAGAAACACTTAGTGATGGTTAGGGTAAGATCATGTTTTGGCTTAAACTACCAAATTGTGGTGGCACAATCATGGCTGGAAATGCTGCCAGTGTCTTGCAAGGAAATAATGTTTTTGTTGGTCTCAAACAGTGGTCTGCAGCTTGGCAGTTGTCTCGCCCTCGCAGATGTCACACCATCCATCATCCCCTACACTTCATGATGACCAAGTCAGCTCATACACGTAATCAGAACTATCCTCCTGAGATCCTTGGGTTTACTGCACCTCACAATTCATTCTGCTTAACTTTGACCTGTTGTCCTCGTTCGTGGACACTTTTTTGTGCCATCTAGTGGCAGTAAGAGCTCAATACACTTATCCCTGTAAAAACAAAAAGCCAACCATCTCTGCCAAGTCAGTCTACAGTCATTCCCGACACAAAAGTGGGCAAGGTCCAAAACCTGATCGCATTTTATTGTTGAAACGTGTTTATTTATGATTAATAAAGTTTGCAGTTTGATATGGCAACACTGAGACAGCTAGGACACTGTTAATAAGAAAGGACTAGTCTGAAGACACTGGGACTTTATTATTGTCTCATCTAAGGACACTAGGACTTTATTGTTGACAAGGTTTCATTTTTTATACTTGTCAAGTCCTACTGATCCCAAATAGCTTGGAGAAATTGGAAATGCACACCAAACAAAAGTGCAGGTTTCAGGAGGCTATAAGACTTTAAACACATTAATATGATACAGGGTTCCTGCACATTTTCACTGTCAAAACATAAAAACCTTTCCATGACTTTTTAAGGACCCATAATAACATTTTTTTTTCCTGCACCACTTGCCCAGCGTTTTTTAAAACATATCAGATTCAAACTTTTGTCAAACATATTTTCAGCTTGCTAGGGAGAGACAGAACTTGGGGAGAAAATGGAGAAACATACGTGATGGCAAACAAAACGTCACACATCGACTCATATTGGAGCTTCGTTACATTGACAGCTACAAAAACTAAATTTGCCATCATGTTACATTATGTAGATGGTTATCCACAGACGATTACTGTAAGAAATTTCGATGACTTTTACAAGACTTTCAGTGATTTTTACTGATTCCAAGACTTTTCCAGGCTTGGAAAACATGATTGTGATATTCTATTTTTCGAGGTTTTCCATGGCTGTGGGAATCTTATATGATTAAAAATGTAACATATCTGAGGTTTGCAGAAATGTGTAATCCCAACATTTTATTCTGGTGACTGGGCTTTATTACTCCTTCTAGAGCAATAATATGGGTGTCAGAAAGGGTTGTGCACCTCGACCGCAACTCACTTCCTCCTCTGTCTCAGCTTACAGGGCCCCCCTTCGCTGAAGAGTTTTTAAAGTAGGGAACTTGACCGAACTCACTGACTGCCAAATGTTAAGTGCGATGTTGCCATGCAGTTAAGTTGATTGTAGTTTTAAAAAAAAAACCTGCACCAAACAATCACGTTTCTCTGTTTAAAAATGTGCATTTTATACATATATGGTCAAAAAGAGAAAAAACAGAGGTTTTTGATTAAGCGTGTGTGTGTGTGTGTGTGTGTGTGTGTGTGTGTGTGTGTGTGAGAAAGACAGAGAGTGAGAGTGATAGTGTCCATGAGCTAGAAGACTTGACGTCTGCTTGCCAAAGAGGAGCTAATGGACGTATTGGCTTCAGAAACCATGTCTGCATTTTTTTGTTTACAAAACTGCACTTTCCTACGACTTCCACAATTAGACAGCACAAACGTCAGCCTGTAAAGCGTCCCCTCATTTCCTGTACAGTATTTTATGAAACATGCCACTGGCGCCTTCAATTACAATAACATCACAAGTTCCATTCCTCTCCTACTTATTTACAATCACTGAGAGAGATAGTTTGTAAGGAGATTATTTCACTGCAGAACCTGAGATGATATTAAATAACACGTTTACTGGCTCTCAGGAGTAGCTTTAGTCTCCAACATAGAAACACTAGGGGGGAAAGTAAGCGCCTATAAAAGTGAAACCCATACAGAGCTCTTGGTTTTAAGAGCGTGATGTTCAGCCTTCACTCTGAAGCCACAATTTCTTTTCCTCATGTTCATTCTCCAGCATTTCCCCCTCAACATTCAGACCTATCTCTCTCTGTGTCACCTGTTCTTCCTCCTCTTTTCCTCAGTTACCTCACCCTGCTACTCCACAGCCAACAAGTCTCCTTCACCATCTCATCTTTTCCCTGCATGTTTTGGGATTAAACTCTTCATAAAGAGAGGATTTTTAGGCAGCGCACAGCTACTGTTTATCAGGAAGTGGATTAAATTCTAATCGAGACAGTGTAAACTTCACTATAGACTCCATCCCTCTCTTATAGTTTGCATTGCGCAGTTCTTCACATCTCTGCCGTGCAGCTACAGTAGTTATATTAAACGCTCTGCACACACAGGACTTTCACATGAACAACTTGACCAAACAGCAACAACAGGTGGCACCGATAAAGTCAGTGAATGCATCTAATATGTCATTTTGTTGTATGCATTCACAACTTGCATGCGTTCCCATGGTAATATCAGAGATTTTCAACAAAGGGCTGATGAGATCAATATTTACAGACACTGAAACCTTTATATGCAGGCGTTGGAAGATTAGAAACATGTAAACACAGCTGTAAGTACTTATAATGAGTTTATCTAATGAGAGAGGCTGGTGCAAAAAAAGTTAAATTTCAGAAGTTGATTGAAAAAGTTGGTAAAACATCCCCCTGAAAATGAGATAACGTGAGGTCTTACCTGTGGTGCTGAACCAGGAGGCAGTTGATGCTTCAGAGCAGGACAGACAGAGAGACCACCGCAGTGTGCCAGTGGCTGCCTCTGATTTAACTTAACTGGTGGAGCGAGACGAGCAGGAATACCGTCTGACACACAAACACCCCCCCTCCACCCCCTCCCCTCACCCCACTACTCTCCTCTCCCTCTCTCTCTCTCTCTCTCACACACACACACACACTGCAATGATGAATGAATTTCCTTGGAGCCAGTCAGCAACGTATTGTCCTGGCCCATCTTTTTTTCTGTGGCCATCAGCCTGCACACACACACAAACACACACAAGATCTTACACAATAGCACCTCTCCTCCACCTCCTCCTCCTCCTCCCCTCTCTGCTCCTCCTCCCCGAGCACCATCCCTCTCCCCTCTCCCTTAATGTCTGCTTTTAATCACTCACTTTCTCTTTCATATGAAATTTATTGCCACCTTTGACAGGTACAGCTGACTAAAGCGCCAAATCCAGGCCTGTTGCATGATCTTTTGAGGCCGCTCAATTCAGCGTTACAGTTTAATTAACCCGACATGCATGCAGGCCTAAACAGCACTTTGGTTGATCTTACTTTAATATCTCAATCACCTCTCCTTCCTCCACCATAGCACTCATCTCTCATCCCATGACAGTCCCCTGTCCATTGTCTTTGACACAACATGAAAGGAATGTCCAGGCTTCGATTGTGATTGGACCTGTCGACACACTATTAATAGCCGCCACGAGCTCGCCCTTGGCTTGGATCGGGTGTATCAGGGGGCCCGGAGGTGGGGGAAAATGGTGAGGTGGAGCTGGAGAGTTTGGTTACTGCTTTTCTTTTACTCCTTGCTGGGCTTCCTCAGAACATTTCCCGTTTTTCAGTGGGATTCAGTTGTCACTCATTTGTCAACTTTTTTCGTAAGGAGGTGGATGAATTGTTGGAGTGTGTGAACGTGGGTGACCTGGCTGACAGCTCCCTGCGGTCAAGGTGGCTTTGTTGAGGCTATTTAAGCGAGAGTGCGGCCCATGCTGATAAATGTGACTGGTAAAACTGTACGGCAACGAATAATTTCATAGAAGAATTTGAGTGGTGCCAAAGGGAGGAATCTGAAGCCGGCACACTTTGCAGTTGTGTAATCCAGCTGTAATAATACGGGATTCTATTTTTAGCAACTGCAAACAACCATCAGACACTCCTTGGCGCTAAAGATATTTGTCTCTCACTATTATGCTCTTTCTCAAAGTCTTGACAGGTGTTGAGAAGTAGGTCACATCCTCACCTCTCAGCCTCAGTCCAAAGCTGCTATCGCAACTGTCACTGAAATGGATAGTGATGGATGAGGCGGTGTTGCTGTCATCCTCTAAATCCCCTCAGTTTCAGTGTCTGCGGAGTTGACGGCGAAGCAAGCCATCACCTGGGTTAAAGACAAACAAGGAAAGAAAGGAAAAACAAACACTTTGGGCTAAGTGGAGGTCCTGTTGGGCGGCTTTTGCTCGCTCAGGTGTGACCCAGTCATTTGAGAATAATCACATTTACCAAGCTTTCTATGGCTCACAGCGTCTCAGGGGTCACATGGGGTGAAAAGGCAAAATGTAGAAAGAGCTGGAAGACTACATGACATGCACCAGAGCGCTCTTCAGTCTTTCTACCTGTCATTTCTCAGGAAGGGTGCAAAGAGGAGGACTGTATCTGACTGTGTCGGAAACACGGCAACAGAGACATTTACACCTCCAGGGTTATTATGATCAGGCTCCATTACGTCTTCAATTACTGTGAACGATAAGGATCATCCATTAGGCGAAGGTTCTCTCATTGTGTATCCTGTCGCAGCCGTGAGCACCCATACAGTATCAAATCGCCCTGCATTGCCTTGGCCTCACTGTCATGAGAATTATCAACAATCTATAGCTGACCCCAGAGACCTCTCAGGAAGTGAGGAGAAAAGTTATGTATCGTGCTCCGAAATCTGCACTACACTTTCCACAAAACAAATAACTCTCACTGGGGACAGGATGTTGTTGCAACACACCGCACTACAGCGCTGATTTACAGTCCTTGTGTACAAGCAGAAACAGATGTTGATGATTTAAAAAAAATGGAGATCTGGGGGGACAAAATAAAATGAGATTTCCTCTGGGACTATTTTTAGAATAGATGGGTGGTGTTTATTTCAGACATAGGTGCAGATTTAGAACATGTGCAAAAACTTGAAGTAGCAGAGGACTTCTATCTTGACAAAATTCAAGATATTCAAACCATAAATTGGTGCAGAAAAGGCACCAGAATGCAGAAAATTAAGTATTTGATGCTCACAATTGTCTGGCGGAGAAGCTTCAAACCCCCTGTTTCATGCATGCCGCCCTATCACAATGATGAACCGAAACCTACACCCTTGATTTCAGCTTGTGGCGTGTGTGATTACAAACTAAAACATCATGTCCTGAAATAAACTCCATGATAAACTTTAAAAAAGAACATGAATTATCATTCCAAGATTACGTCTAAACTGTGCAACACTTAGGAATCCAATACAACTAGTAAAATCCACAGATGGTAATTTATCATCTGTTGGGTAATACACGATTTCTGGGTGGGTGAGGCCAGAGAGAGAACAAGGCTTCATCTCATACCCTCGATGTTCATGTTCATACCCTAGAGGTGTGATAGTGGGCGATGCTTTTGTTAATCAAATCACTCTAACAAGATAAGCTGTGTTAGCACTTGAGCTGTAGTAGAATGAATTGATGACCGAGGTAATTACTGGTAGCACAGATCACTGCGGGAAACGGCAGACCTTCTGCACCAGAGCAACACAGGCACTAAAATGCCAAACCATCACGCAGCCACCTGCTGAAGAAAGACAATACTCTGTGAGCTCTGAAGACTGAGCTTTAACCGTAAACTGCTGACCTATATTGACCGTCAAGAGGCTGACTCGTCTCCGATAAGAATATCTGACAAGTTTCTGCATGGTTTTCGTCAAAAATCCATGTGTGAGCTGATTACATTTTAATTCATGACAGGGGGGCAACATCATTACAATAAAATGATCACAAATACGAGCTGCATGTTTCTTTTATCACGCTACTCATTAGTGCTGCTGAAAAATGTTATTTTTTGCCAAACTTCTTACACAAGACACTCATCTCCTCCGTATAAAGAAAGTGATCTGCAGAGCATCATCAGCTTTTCTTTGAAAATCCGTTCATCTTGTACTGTGCTTGTTTTAAACCTCACTATGAAAATTATTGCCCCATTGCTCCCAGATGTGTTGTATTCATAAACCTGTTTCACAACAGCAGACATTTGGACTTGTCGCAGCAGGAAAGGCACAGGTGGAACTAATAACACTCAGGATGTCTAAGATCCAGCAGTCACTGTGATGAAACGCAGCAATTAATAACATTATTAGATACACCGGTGTTTGACAAGTGAAACATGGTAAGTTCAGCTTAACCTTTTAAGGTACTGCCGAGGTTTTAGACTCTGTAACATAACTGTAAAGACACAGGGTTACCGGGTGAAAAGCCCCTCTTGGGAATAAAGTCTATTTTCTTTTAAACCATATATATGATGATATATATGAATATTATTATTATAATGTATGTCAGAGGCATGCTTAAGTAAACACACTGATTTAAAGGATAATTAAATCATAACAGACTTTGATTTGTTATTATAAGACTTAATGTAAAATATAGCAAAAGGGCATCTTCCCCTCACGACCCCGGGAAGATTCAAGACAAGCTGACATCAGCTTGTGGCTGAAATCTTTATATAGTCATCTCATCTAGGCACATTACTGCAAGTGTTTACATTACATACACTGCTACATGTAGCCGCATGCTAACGTCTGGGAAACTTGTAATCTTGGTTGCCAGTGTTATTTCTCCCTGGTTTCGGATCATATTCCTGCTGGAACATGTCTGGTTGTATACGTTTTGGTTTCACTGGTGATGTTTCATGGCCTCAGTGATGCTGCAGAGATGTGGAAGAGCAATCAGAGCAGACTAGGCTTATTCAGAAGGGGGGCTTAAAAAATGGGTGCTATAACAGAGCGTTTCAGACTGAGCTTGAGGCACAGACATTCATTCATTCATTTTCTGTAACTGCTTATCCTGTTAGGGTGGAGAATGGAGTCCACCCCAGCCGACATTGGGCGAGAGGTGGGGTACACTCTGGACAGGTCGCCAGACTATCACAGGGCTGACACATAGTAGACCCTTTTACACTGCAAGATTTTCCGCAAATGTTGGGACGTTTTCCCAGCAAGCTGCAAGTATTTATACACACAGAGCCAGATTGACAAGTTGATCCAAGGTGCCCAATATTCCACCTCGTAGGGTAGTCATATTGGTGCAACCCTTTTAGTTTAAAAAGACAGAGGCGGCCTTCCATAATGGGAGGGGCTGTTGAAGGCTTGTGGGAGGAGCTGTTGATGACGCCGCACATGGGACCCACTGGCGGTGGATAAACAGGAAACAGCTGATAGCAGGAATTAGCGAGCAGCTAGTAGCAAGAGGGAAACACAAACCTGACACTGTAAAGATGAGCAACTGGGGAGACAAGGAATTGCGCGCCCTCCTTACCCTCGCAACCGAAGAGGCCATTAAACATCAGATGGCAGGGACGATGAAGAACAGGCCGACTTACGAGAGAACTGCCGAAGGACTGACCATCCGCGGTTTCCCTCCCACGTCACTGTTTACGTCACACGCTGAGCTACACCTTTTGTTACTTGCTCACGCCCCCCATTGGCCCGAAAAAGGCACATTCATTATAAACAAAAGTAGGTAGGCAGCATGTTGCTGCACTCCCCGATTTTGTTTTTATACTGCCAATGCTGAAAAAAAGACTGATTGGGCTTTCCTGCAAATTTGCACAATTCCTGTTTAAAAAGCGCTAGAGACAGACAACCATTCACACTCACATTCACACATATGGACAATTTAGAGTCACCAATTAACCTGCATGTCTTTGGACTGTGGGAGGAAGCTGGAGTACCTGGAGAAAACCCACGCTGACACGGGAGAACATTCAAACACCGCACAGAAGGGCTGCCCCACCCTGGTTTCAAACCAGGAACCCTCTAGCTGTGAGAAATCAATGCTAACCACTGC